TTATTTTTGGCCTTTGTAAAATATCACAATAATTATGGACTTAGAACTGTAGAGCCTGATGATGAAGTTATTGAAAACAATTGTTCGCTCAAATATTCTTCATTTTTGAATAAAAGAACACTTAAATTTTAATTCTGACTAAGTCTAAATATGCTTTAACCAAATTATTACTATTGACATTAGAACTTCGATTAGAGTAAGTTGAATATAAATTGTAACTAATGATAACATTTTGAAAAACCACAATTATGTGTACGAAAGAAACTTGTACAGTCGCTTCTTCTCTCTTGATCTTAATATCGCACCACTTTTTTTTTCTTTTCGTTTTTCCCTGATATCTACTTAGTTCCTAACTTCTTCACTATAGACCATTTACCTCCAACTAACCTGTTTCTATTTCTATGATCTTCCTGACTAAAATTTGTCTCCATTCCAACATTTTATTTTACCAGGCTGAGCATTCTATTTTCAATTATAATTTTTAATCTAGCTTCATGATGAACAGTCAAGATTTCAGTAACAGTAACAACAACATAGTTAATATCAATTCCCTTAATAAGAATAACGTTTTTATGCCATTATTTATTTACTTTACCACTTTTATCATGTTTAAAAAAATCTTCATTGTCATTATTATCAATTTTAAAAATCAGTATATATTGAGATTATACAGCTTTAAAAATGAATTCGTCTAAACGAGAACTCTTTCCCGAACTAATCTTTCTTAGTTTATGTCTCAATAGATATATTCCAGTGAAATTGTTTAAATGACAAAAGCCCTATCTCATTTTTGTATGTAAAAATCATTTAAAAAGCTAGGATAATTTTATTCGCTTATGAACAACATTTTTTTTGGTGATGTTTTGACAGACGAAATACGGTTTTACTCCCATTCTCACTATTATAGATATGTGAAATGTGGTACTGATGAAGATATATCAGTAGTTAAGAAAGTTACTTGAAATTGTTGTGATTATATTGTGGGTGTTCTAGTCACATGAATTTCATGTTAGCACACGGCTTCGAAACTCTTCTTTTCAAATGAACCGGTAAATATATTATAGTTGGGGAAGCTTCTTTATGGTTCGTGTAACTGGTTCAATAAACTTCCATTTTTAATGAGGTAGAGACCTGTCTCTACCCGACACGGATTAGCTCCACTGGTCACGGCTGATAATTACCATGTACTCACTAGCGACTGACTTCGTGAGGGAATTTTCGGAATTCTAATGGGAAGCTGTGAGCAGCGGAGCCAATCTATGTCGGGTAGAAACTTTTATTTATGAACAAATAGATCATTTCTGTGCTAATCAAGTGTTTAAATCCAATTGTGGTATGAATGTTTAACAAGTCATTTAGTTAACTACATATGAAAAGTTTATGTTTTACAACTATGATTGGTGAATAAATGTATGCACGTGGGATAAATCTTGGGGTCTAATTCTTATGTGTGTCTATCAGAATCAGCGAGCGCTAATTACAGTATTGGACTAGTTTCAAACATCTCTTTATAAATCTGTTAACGCTGAGAACAAGGTAATGTGAAACCAATAGTCAATAGTTCATCAATTACCAAAACAAAGGAGTATGTCTAATTGTGAAGTATATATTAATTGTATCAAATTGATATTACACAGTCCCAAAGAGAAATCTGAATCCAGACAATCGCATATCTGATGAGCCCATTTGACGATGATTTCAGCAATACTTGACATCAGCTTTTAAACATCTGGAATTCAGAAAGTAATTAGTGGTTGTTTTGATTTAGTTTAGCATTCAAGACCCACAAACTCCTACGATTTCCTATGATAGTAAATCCAGAATCTTTAGACTTGGCTGTGGGCATTGACTAGGAACATAATGGTTTTTTAGATTGATTAATTTATGATATAGTTCGACTGTCACATACAATGGATTGATTGGACACCAATCAAATGTTAGATACACGTGACTATCCAAGATATCACTTCTCTTTTTAAGAAGTCAGTCACAATCCATTGGTAGAAAAGTATGGCTTAAACTTCAAAGATATGTATAGAGTTATTTCTGGGTTTGTTTGGGCGATAAGAAAATTCTTTCCCACTCTGGACATTTTCGCTCACGCGGCTGGTCGGGCGCGCATATAGAGGTTTTGTTTTTCAGTATCAAAATAAGACTCTTTCACCCGATAAAATCAGCTAGTAATTGAAAAACTGCCGACGTGGCCTGTGCGATAGATTATGGCTTCGCTTTTTAGTACCAGGGGGTCCACATTAAAGTCAGTTTTTAGTACATTTATGATTATTGTCCAGTAGAATAGATTGCGAAGACTTATCAATAACATTTACTTGAAAATAGTGATTTTGTAGGTGACTCAGATTTAAATTGGTTGGCTATCTGTGGTATAATTATCAAGGAAATTTGTATAACATTTTCATCAGAAACATGTCATTACAGAAATACACAAATAAATTGTGTGATTCGATGAGCATTTTGATTTTCTCTACTATGACTTTATTATACTATTTTATTATTTCTGGAGTTTATAGTTGTGTTTCATCTACTCGTTAGCTCCGAGTTATCCACTTTTTCTGTTAAAAATATTATAATACAATTTGAAACTTATCAATTTACAATTGGAGTTAATTGTGTAACATGGTAACTTTAAAGATTGTGAACTGAACGCAATTCTTATTTTGAGTCATTTTGCTATTATGAATCCCTCAGCTTATGACGATTCTTGAAATAAAGATAAATTCTACACTAGTTTGGTGTTGTTGTTTTTAAAAAAATATATTATTTTCGTTTCATTTAACATTTTACACATACATTAAGAAAAGTAGTATTGATAGTTATAAATTAACCATAAACAATTAAGAATTTATATTACAATTGTTTTCTAAAACATTACAATAATGTATGGTAGACTCATCACAAATAACCAATAGTTATGATGGACCAAGAATATATTAATTTCTAAAAATAATGATAAAGTTAGTACGTCCAAAAATTAATGTAATAATATATTAAATATAATCTATGCACACAAGAAAAATGTACTGAACTTTACTTAAACTGTCAAGAATAGACGTGTTCGAATTTCTTATGGTCTAGTAATCCACAATTATAATTAGTAAGTAATTCCGATCACAATTGTTATAGTTCGAGGTGTATATCCAGATGAAGCACATAATGAGAATACTACTGTGGTCTGTAAACATAGATAGTAAATATATTATAGTTTTGTTATCATAACAGTAGTTAATTGAGAACAACAGACATATGTGTACAGCAGTGTATTTGTGAGCAACAATCAGTATGTCATGCTATGAAGGATTCAAAACGAAAATGGAAAATCCAAGTTTATGTGTTTTTAAACAACTATTTTGCAGCCACTCATAATAAATGTACAAATTATGAGAATTAATGAAAGAAATACAAATAATAGCAAAAACTAGTTACAAAATACGTCTGTTCTAACTATCTCCATAAGTTTATCCGTGAATAAGTAAAACCGATATTATAAAAGCCTGCTAGAAAACAAAATGAGAAATAAATCTTTCCTGGTAATTTATATAGGAATACGTCTTAGTGAATTATACTAGCTGAGGACGGAACAGGTGATCAGTTCATTCAGGTCTCCAGTTGACGTCTAATTTAAGTTTATTCATGACATCAATAACATTTAAAAATCTCCATAAACTCCTATGCTGACTTTTAAATTAATCCATTATAAACTGCTAAATTAAACGTCGTCAAAAATATAAAATCTGTTGCTCATTCAAAACGTTTGTAAAGTAAAGAAGTCAATATAAATTTAGATATTTCTCAGTAATCCCTCCAAGTAAACTAATGAACCAAAAATTTCTGAGAAACTGGAACAAACTAACTTTAATCTGTGAAAGTAACAAGTTGTTACTGAATGTCGCTAACACGCAATTACCTCATATTATAATCAATTCACACAATATTTAGAACGATGTTGCATAGATGAATTAGTGGACCTAAACTAAAGGAGTGATATCCTTATATTTGACAATCCAGAAACTTTTAGCTTGTTATAAAAAACATTCCCACAAAACTACTCAAATAATTACTCAAACACTTAAATTATGATAACCATAACTAACTTCAAGCAGGCAAATAATTTATTTTCATTATATGTTCTAAATCTTCGATCATTTTGACCATGACCTTATTTCTTAATATGGCAGAACTTGAAATATGAAATAGGTATTGATTATCATTGTGGATGTATTTAGTAAAAATGAAATGTTAGGGAGAAAAGTACGAGATTTTGTTGACTTTGCTATTACTAAATTTATGTGAAATCCTATCGACTTACTGAGTTGTCAGATTATCCTTCAGGTTGTTTTCTTTTTTTTCAATTTCGTCTGAACACTTTTGAATACTTTCCATTAGCAGTGAAAACAATTTAACTTCAGGGTAGGTATTAACAACTGCAATTAAGTACTACGTTATTGTAAACGTGGAATAAATGTTTGGTCACAGGTAGTTGAAAATGACATACGAAAATAGGGAAAACATGTGATTTTAGGATGAGGATTTTTTATTGACATCAACAATCAGTTAATTAGGCCAGTTCTATACGATATCAGTTGAAATGTATTGTAGCATTATGAACTACTGATACTTTATCGAAAAATACGTTTTTCAAGTCATAAAATTTGTGAATGTGTGGTCAATTGTTTGGGTCCATATAAAGTGACTGAATGATGGCATGGTCATTTAGTAAAACAAACCGCCAAATTAAGTGACATTTCTTACAAATGGCCAAATTAAATAACTCGGTTATTTCAGTCTTTATTTTCATTGTTCATTAACAGCCTTTTTAACAGAAAAATAAACCGAAGTTATGGCGTTTTTATTGAATATTTTACCTATAATTAGTGGTAGCTTTGGTTTCACAATCTTTATTCACCGACCTCAATCAAGGGTTACTTGTTCTGTTTTCATATCTATTTATTAAGGACATGAAAGTCTGTACCATTAGCAAATTATGAACACTGGACATTTCGATCATATCAGTATTTTATTAAATCAGTTGGTAAATGATAACAATATCAAAAACCAATATAACTGATCATCGAACTAGGTTGTTGTGCACTCACTAAAATTATACGCTATTGTACAAAATATAGAACAAAGACAAACGTGATTGACGTGCAGTAATATTCGAATATTATTGAATATTCAATAAATTCAATAGTTTGAATATCAGTCACTTTTCCGTGTGTTTGGACAGTTAGGTATTTCCACATGACAACAAGATGATTTATTTGTTCGGAAACATTTTAGCTGAGAAGTTTATGAACATTTTTGTTAGACTTAAGATGATTTTCATCGTGGATTGTTTTCAAATATGGTTCCATTGAAACCAAAGGGTAATGATTACTTGTTTAATTCATGTCAAGGTTCGGTACTAGGACATTCAGCTCCGTATTGTATAGCAGCTTTAGCTAAAAATATTTCTCAAAATATACTTTTAGATAGTGTGTTTCAAAACTTATTTGCTCATCTTCGAATGATCAATCAATTATGTTATTTTTTAATTGAATATGTTCGTTTGTTATTAGTTGCAGAATTATCTTTAATTGAATTCTATTTTTAATGATAAGGATACCTTGAAGCAAAGAATTCTCAACACAAATATGCAATACCGCTATAAATTCCCACTTAACAATCATTTAACTGTGTTAGGTTGCAACGTATGTCGCTAAGCTATTTAACTGTATTTAAGTAAGAGTTTTTATTTAGTTTAAGTGAATTCTAATGGCAATTTACTGACTTGGCAATATGTGGGAAATATAAGAATCATTTAACGTGTAAATATGCAAAATATATGATAAACAATGTTTCTCCTCAGCGATTTGCTGACTATCATATTTATCTGAAAATTTCCTACGACCAGATAATCTCCAATAATATATTTTATCATATCATTATATCACAGCATCATTAAACAAAATATTCGATGGATGGTCTCAAATATGACCCCTCTAGTTTCTCTAAAGAGCATACGACAAGGAAAATTTAACAAACACCGTGGTGATTCTGCTTGAACCTAGTAGTAGCCGCATTCACGGGAAGTTAAAAAACTTTTGAGTGCTTAAATAGATTTGGCGGTTCACAAGCATAGTAAGACGATTTAAAAAATTCAAAAAAAATTATTTCAGTATGTAGATGATCCAGAAGTTTGAGTATGTTAAAAAGACATTTTCTAGTATAGTAAATAGTGCCAGATTTATTTTTGTTCACTTCATGTTATCTTCCAATCACTTCTTATTACTTAACTACGTTTTGATTATCAGATGCGTAGAGCCATGTCATCCGAATAGTTTCGTTGTGTACGGACCAAAGCAAGATATTAGTATAATATTCATGAATATTTTTACATTATTAGAAGTGCTGAGACATTATCAGTGCAATTTCTCAGACTTTTCCCATATTTTCTTGTTTGAATAGCCTGATATAATCTGTTCATAATCTTCGTCAGGTTAAAAATCATTTGAGAGTAGAGTACTCCAACCAGTGTACTTAAATCAAGGCAATGTATTTTCTGCAAGACACTAAGGTTCTCGGTGCTGTCTAGAACCAAATCGATGTCATGTGTCATTAGATCATTAGCGGTTCAACAAATAACTGACGTCGAATAGTCTTAAAAATTAATTTTAATCTCATAAGATTTGGACGAAACAAGTGGTCATTAATGAAAGTATTTTGTTATCTCAAACAATTGATTCAGCTACCAATTAAACAAATTATTATAGTTTTCTTGAGACATACTATTATTAGAATAAGTACTTGCATATACAACCATAATTTCAACCATAACTCAGCTACAACTCCAGTATCTTTATTAATTTATTTTGTTGAAAAATATGAGATTTGTATGGAGATATCGAAACAATAAATAGATGATTTTCATCAGCTCGTGCTAGGTCGTGTTTGCGTAATAGTGAGAAATCCCAAACCCCAACAAAACAGGTGTTTACTGGTCGGTTTGTTCTTCAGATTGGAGCGGAAACCTATTTGATTGTTGGCTAGATGCAGGGACTTTCTTACTTAGAATCAAACGCCTGTTGAAAATTCACATTTCTAAGCTTGTATAGACAGTAGAGAGAGATTCAAATTACCGATGGAATGTTGGATCAAATTTTACCTTCACTGAGGTTATTTCCGAATATAAACATGTACTCAGTAATGTGATTAACCAACCAGTTATATCCTTTGGAAACTAATGATCAAAGACTATCATAATGACTCTCATCGAGTTTGTCTTTAACAAGTGAATAAATAAGATTTTATTTAATTAAACATTTGAAAGACAAGTATTTCGAGTTAGATGTTTCTTTCTGTTATACAAACTAGGAAACATTCCAACTTCCCTTATATTGTTATCAGTCACAAGCATTATCTAAACACAGTTGGGCAGTGGTAAGCATGAGGAACCAGGACATGCGTTTCTACCTCCATGGAACTCGTCAATCGTATAAATCTGCATTCAAATGTTGATGTTCACTTTGGAACTCAAATCCATTTCCTTTCACTTCAGATGTTAACTTTTAAAAACTACCTATGACTGATAAAGGTATCCGTCCAGGATGTTAAAAGAGACTGATCAATAGCATTCCGTAAGACCAGCAATGGGGAGATCCAAACCTTTACAACTGAATTATAACTCATCCCTGTTTCACGAGCCAATAAATATCTGGGCTTAGTAGCTAGATGGATAACTCATTCGTATTTCAAACGAATGCCAATGCATTCGATGATCAGAGTGAAAATTAACACTGGGATCCGGACATACCTGACTGACGTGGCCTAAATGGGACGAAATGCACACTTTAGACTCTACTACGGACCACTACTCAACTCTTCTAAAAAATGATAATTAATATCTATGAATTGTAATCCATAATTATACTTAAATCATCAGGAACCATGATTTATATTTGGTCAAGTTATATAATATACATATTAAGTTAATTACTCCACGGGCTAGTAATGCACCAACTTGAAATCTAAACATTTTATTATAGGTTTCTTAGAAGTTTTTACATCGAAGTCACGGATACATTTCAGTGATAGATACAAAGAAACGTACGGAATACTTGTTGAATATTTTGATTATTTTTACACAATAATTATTTCAATGACTGAGAGTCTTGTTTTCCTTTCCTATTATGGAGAAACTAAATATATTTAGTGTTTCACGTTATTAATCTGAATGTTTTTAAAACGAAGTTTAATAGTGTTGATTTTTAATTTATATTTCATAGCTTTCTTTTGCCGGAATTCGATACAGTATGTGTTGAAATAAATAAGTTTTAAAAATTCATGCGTAAACTATTGAATTTATAGTTCAAACCACTGACTCACCATAATTAAATGATCAGTGAAAACCTGGAAATACTGAACGATTGTCACTTTTTGAAAGTAGGCATCTAAAGTTAATGGCTTACCGAAGTTTGAAGGTCCTGTGCACTGCACTTCGTGAGGTCCTTAGTGTCCACTGACGAAGAATCCAATAATATGATAAAGCTAACGCCCGACGATTTCTAGTTGCCTGCGATTTTCTGACCTAAATTAGTTCGTGATTTAAACTACAACATTTTAATAGTCGTTACATAGCTAGTGTCTTGTTCGAAGGTTGATTTCTTTTACTTATTACTGACTTAAACTGAAACATAGAAATACACATCAATTTTGTATACATTAAATCAATAATTTTAAATAAAACACGTTAATGTGTATATAAACAGACAAAACAGTTTTTGTTTCACATCATACTAGTATTATATGTGTCATAAATAAATTGTCGATAAAAAAACTGACGACTATTCGTTAAACTTTATTGTGTCTGGCACTAAGTACTTTGTGTTACAAACCATAAATGTTAGTGTCAATAATTAACGTTCAGATTACATGAATGCTGTTTTGAAATGTAAAGAAAATAATAAATGATATTACAAACCTCTACAAAATACCCAGGTAAACAGAAATAGTTCTGAACTTATCCAAATCAGTACATATGTGCCCCATCTCGACTGATACACATGAATCCAAAGTAAGTGATGAATTTTTTTGAAAACGATAATCATTATGCCGAGAAAACCATAACAAGCTGTTACAAGGGAACACGGTAACAGATGCAGACGTGTTAGGACCGTTTTGGATAAGCAAGTGATTTGCCGAAAAATGTAACTGTATGAGTGTAAATATGATTATTTGGACTTGACAACAGAGCTTTTCATGGAATTTTCGTCTTTGGAGTGAGATAGGCTTTTGGAAGATTACATTAGTAACTGAATCGATCTGCAGACCTCAACAAGTACTCACACAAATGTAATTATTTTTGTAGTTAATCATCAGTTTCCATATGTAGTAAATGTCATGTTAGGCAGGGCATGGTCGTCTTTATAAACGATGGTTCAATAATCGTAAAATGAGACGCATCATGAACAGTAGTATTAACTTTACCTGATTAATATATATTCATTTACAGATAATTCGTTTATATTTTGAACAGGATGAGAAGTGATGGTTGGATGTGCTACAGCAAAAACCTTCAAAGGTATGAAATGTCCAACTATAGAGTAGAAATAAAAATGATAGAATCTAGAGAGTAAATATAAAAATACCATAACATAGTCCTTATAATTAGTATGGTAAACTTACAGACGTTGTTCACACTGAAGGTGGTTTGTCATAAATTGACTTTGGTAAGAGATGAATCAGAAGATTTGCAGTTTATAGAGACTGCTTCGTTCAAATCCTGTCCTCTGTACTAAGTGGTTTAAATGCTTTTAGTTTCTTGCTAAACGCCATTGGCACAAACTTTACATAGAAGTTTCAACATCAAACCACCCAACTTAGAGAACACAGTTTGAATGACATTAGCTAAATAACTACTGAAACCGGGAATGTGAACTGTTGATCACTATCTGGGTGCTCTTAAAGTAACGCGCATAGGTGCATTGATAACAACCTCCGTACCTGAACGAAACAGCCGTTCAGTACTCTTTGGTTTACAGTTGTTGTTTAACAAAATCCAGCCAATAGTATTAACCATTTTCTTTAAACGTTATGGTTGGACCCAATTTCTTTCTACAGAAATTATCAATGAAAAATACTACAAAAGAAACTGGAATTTTGCATCAATTTGGATTATGAACTAATAAATTGGTGCTTTGATAATGATAGTGAAATATGTATACATATACCCGTAAAATGCTTTATACTTCATCACAGAACTGCTCGTCTATAAATAAGTTCGACAAATATGTGAGATTACTTTCTTGGAATGTAATTTAATCAATTCCATGAGTCTAATCTAAACAGTTTCTTCATTAACAAATGGATAACACAAAAATCCAGCTTTAGATTGGTCATCCATTACGTTTCTTTAATAAAAATTCACATCATTCAGTAGACTACTTTTCAACTTAATAAGTAATAATACACACGTATATGATCAGCTAATTATTGAAAAATAGATGCAATTACTATCATAAACTTTTGAAGATTCTTGAATTTGAAGTCTCACATCGAGAAAAGACTTGGTTATACAACCATTGAAAATTAGCCCCACAAGTGGTCAAACTCATGACCTTTTTACCCAATGCTGTTGTGAAAATCCATTCCAACAAACTAGTTCAACAGTAATTTGCACCAGATATTCTACATAAATACCATTTAGGTGCATTTAAAAACGAAATCACCATACATGAATGTTTTTTCCGAGAAAAGTTTATGACTAAATAGCGGTGGTGAATTTAGAACTGAGATGAAGTTAGTTATCAGTACAAGTAAATCCTTAGGTAAAACTCATCAGTTAATATTAGATAAAAACCGAAAAATGGTAATGAATCTTCCAAAATCAGATATTTTCTTGACTCAATATAGATATGAATCAGAAAAACCTAGATGACGTGATATTCTTGAACATATAATGAATTGAACGAATGATGAAAATATGGATCCTCGGGTTGACTTCATGGTTTTGATGCAACGCGCTCCAAGCAAGACCTGATTTTCTTGCTTTTTTTATTTCCGAGGTCGTAGGCTTGCAGTACTGGTGAGTTTAGATGGTAGTTGGAGGTAGTCGACAGGAAACCATCTAATTTCACAATAGTGTCCGCAGTGTTGAGTCACCTAGACTGGTGGCCACACTGCAACATGGTCGATAGCATTCGATCTGCACCAATAATAAGGACTAGAGACGTACGACATTGGTCACCACCCAGTGATCAATCAATTGTGACTACTGGTGAGTCCTAGAATAAAATGAAATAGTTTTCTAATACTCTATGGGTTTTAACAATTTACTTGAAGTCAGTATGTAACCGATAAAGTACAATCCGAAAGATAAACATTAATTTTACGGAAATGTCACTTCAATTAATTTCTATTTTGTTCACTCATGATGATTGCTAATAGATATGAATGTGTGACAAATGTTCACCTACTTATATTGGATGGAAATAAGTTTTAAAGGAAAAACTAATAGTTTATTAGATTTAATCCAAGTAACTCACTAACAATAGATTTATTGAATTCGATTTAGTAAGCGATCTATTTGTTGATAAGACTGTGTTAAAGCTGAGCTTTAGAGTTGGAGCTCTGAAACGTCTCATTAGTAAACTTACTCCTGAGATTTACGTTGAAAAAACTTACATTACCCGGCTACATCTCCTAATACGTTGTACTTGCGACTAGTTGAAATTTTGGATATTTCGATATTCAAGCACAAATGTCTTTATAAATAAATACTTCTCGGAAACCTGATTCCGTAGATCATAGTAACCCCAGCCGGATCTTTTGGTTAATATTTCATTTATCAGTAGTGTAACTACCAAGATTGTTCATTCACTTATATTAGATTTGAGCCGACATCTACAAGTAACCAATTACTGAATTATGCATTTTCGTCTCGCGTTATTATAGTACGTGGTACAACTATCGATTAGTTTAGTGATTAAATGATAGTCACTGAGTTATTCGTATTACAGACATCCCGTTTTGCCAACAAACCGGTCGATAAAGTTGAGCATAGCATTCATACAACTTCCTATAATGTTCTTCAATGTGATAGTATTCCACAAAGCAACACTGCGTATCCCCAGAGTATAACTGTCCGAATTAGAATGCTTTGTTTTTTTGTCATAGATTTACCTAGTAATACTAACATCCATTTCCAAATTTTTTAACGGCATTTTTCTTGCAACTCACATACGCTAAAAACCTCTAAATCAACCAATTCAGCCTCTGTATGGATCGACAATCGAATGTCCAAGCAAGATTTACCCATTCCCAGACCACCAACCCGAACAATAAAAAACGAACAAGTACCTTGCATTTTTCGAACTCAAAAACTCAAGTAAATAATTAAATAAGATGGGAGACCACGAAGCATGATAGATAATAAATTTCAGTAGGTGTACAGTTATGGCATTCGTGATGTAGTTAAATAACAGATATATAGCTGACTGCAATTTATATATGGCAAAAAATATTATAATTTATTAAGTTAAGTGAATGTCCACAATAAGAACAAAATGAACATACTAACATCAATTAGTTTAATAAACAAACAGAAAACATACAAACTGATCCACTCAAAATTAGTTTACGAAATAGCTTCACACGCAACTTCCTAACACGTTTCCGTTCGGTGTTCATTACACTAAAACGGCAAAACTGAGTTTCATCCAACCTAATTCACAAACAAGCTTCATAATATCGACAAATTGAGGATACTTTACACAAATACTGGTCCTTTATTCTTGCATTATTGTGTAGCAGATTAATAATGCGGCGTTGAACCAGTCGTATGGATAACGAGTGATTGCAAAGTCGCCGCTGTCCAAGGCTTGACGATCTAGTAGTATACTCTTTAATCACATCATCACTTGGACTAAGAAAGGTTTGAGGTATTGAACCCGATGTTTGTGAGGGAACATTTGAAATATGAGATTCAAGTAGGGAGTCCTTGTTTTAAATATCAGGTTGTTATTCCAGAACTGGTTCAACGGTGGTCGGTAATAACAGTAAAAGGTTTCTCTGGTCCATCATGCCCCCAAATGCCCTGGTACGGCCGAGAGTGGGGAGAGTCCGCTCTCCCTCTCGAAATGCTCTCACATGGCCATGCGTATATAGCCTCTGCCAGGGAAGTCCTACTCACTGCCTTCTCGTGGCGGGGGTGTTGTTTACAAAAATGAGAGGACGAAAAGCGACTGTCTGGCGCTTTAACCGGACCCCAAACCAATGGTGCACATGGGCTCCAGTATCCTGAAGGAACAAATGGCGTATGAACCAATCGTTGGTCACCGGCTACCATGAGACTGCATCTCCTCACGATGCTCCACTGCCTTGTGGGTCAGACGTTCAGGTCAAAGGCTCGGGGTGTGGCCCCCTAAGACAACCACCTGCTTCGGTTTGGGCACCCGGGCAGTATCACAGCCCTCACACAAATCAATTGAGATTTGTGTGGCGCATATGTATTGGTGCCTCCCCAAATATGTATGTATTGGTCCATCATATGAAGGCACACTGAAACGCCTCAACCTCATCTGCACTACTTTCAGGTAGAAGTAAAGTATCAGCATTGCCATTTCGCCTACTCAACCTGATGTCTAAAGAGCGGATAAGGTTCACAGCAGCACGCCAAACCACACTAAAAGCTCTTGGTGCTACAAACTGTCCGTCACAAAGTTTACTTAGTAAATATGCCCCACATGCATCATAAACTATTGATGGGCTTACATAGAAAAACTAACAATGTACACAGCCAATACTTTGTCGATCAAGCCATTTTACCATGGAAACTATTTGATCCAGATAAAATAACTAGGTGTACACGTAAAATGGAAGGTTAATTCAAAAATCACGACGGAATAAACTTTTTCCACTGTGGCTTGTCATTTTTTAATCTAATGTCTAAGGGACGGATCAGGTTCACAGCAGCACGCCAAAACACACTAAAAGCTCTTTGTGCTACAAACTGTCGAACTATCAAAAATACATATGTATTTAGAGCGTATGTTCGGGCATTAAAATGCAAGCATAAAACGCATTTCGACTTCTTTGGTTTGGATAATTAAAATGCATCTCCTTCCCTAAGACAAAAAACTCAAAAACACATATAACAACCTGTATTTTAAGTCGGAACGATTTCATGCGTTACAAATTTTCAAGATCATACGAGAAGCTACGAAACAGTACCGTTGAACAAAATTACATTTCATAATCAGTCTAATATTGTTTAAATTCAACCCAAAGCAAATATAAACGAAACAAAACGATACGAAGCCTTTAAAAAACAACGAGAAATGTACAAGTTATTCAGTAACATTACACATCAATGGAGGTGTTTGGTGATATGCTATTAGAAATTCAACTATTATTTTACATTTATTACACAAAACCAATGACTCATTTAAAACTTAAAAAGAATGAACACACAACTAGGAATTAGTGCCACGAACTAAAATAGACTTTCATTTAGTGGAATGAAATAAAGCAACAAACAAGTCTCCAAGATCAGAACAGTTTTATTACAACATAATGCAATACAATAAATAGTGGAACGGAGTTCTCTATAAAAATGTAGCGCATGAAAGGGTCTAAAGTTGGTTTGCATAGTGAAGTTTGCTATTCAAAATTTATTTATAACGACGGTGGTATCAACGTCACATAAGAGACGACTAACTGCACGCGTAGGGATTTTATTTGAAATGCACTTTTATGATGCCCATAACGACAGCTACTCAATTATTTGAACTAAATGCTGTATGACTGAAACACGCCAAAGCATCCAACTGCTTATCATCAACAAGTGAAAATCTTTTGCTAAATGCGAAGAAATGTCTGGCTAGGGTATTCATATGAGGTATTAACTCAAGTTGATCTAGATGATTGAAATGTGCAACATACATATGAACTATACACACCAGTATATTTTTGCATATAACGGAAACATATTGAGGCAAATCAGAAGGAAACGGTTCACCATTTCGTATAGGAAATAAACGAGGGCATTGAATAAGGTCATGGCAAGAAGATAGAGCACCATCAATAGCTTGACGAGCTGAAATTCTACTGTATTGTGAGATGGAGCCTACAATGAGACTTTTGTTTTTTTTGCCGCGATCGTCTTCGCTTTGCACACCAAGCGAACTATTTGAAATTTCCAGTAACAATGAGGAGACAATGTTGTGGATTCCTGAATCTTCCAAGGACTCCCACAAGCTTCGGCAACCGCAGAGCTCGTATATGGCGTCATATATTATACTAATATTGTCAAACAATGCAATTGTGTGTGCAGCAAGCCACTCATTCGTATCCATAGCTGGAAATGGCTCTACAATATCACAGAATTCAGGATAAGATGAATCCAAAAATATGGGTAATTGCTGGGAAACATAAACATTTTTCATGTACATTGGAGTTTTAGGATCAGCGTGAATTTCTGTTTCTACAGATACCCCAGGTGATTGCGAACACTTACCCGACACCTGAGAAACTTGTACGTTTACGGATAGAGGTGAAGGGGCACGTAGCTTTACAGCTAGGCCGCCGCGAGATTCGTTTGCTGAATACTCTTTCACAGGAACAGGAGAACGTCTGCTATCAGTTTCAACACTTACACTACTTGTACTCAATGGCGGAGTACCGGTCGGAGAGACACAGTGGTTATGATGAACGATGGGAATAGGTTCTGTTGCAGCCGAAGATACGATGCTGGGAGGGGTATGCATGAAGCCACGACTTACCCCTCTAGCTTTCCCCATCAACCAGTCCATTTACTTTGAAGCTTGGTCTTTAAAAAATGTGTACCTTCTTCTAGTATAATATTGTACTTAAGACTTTGTTTTATGTGGAGTATATTCTAATATGCTTAACGAGTAAAGAAATCTGAAAGATAACAGTAGTAACATCCAGACATCTTCCAAGGAGCCACAAAGAATGTATCATCAATATACAAGGAATAAAACCACCAAAAATTAAAACAAAGTTATACATTGAAGATAATCCATGATATCCATAGGAAGCTGAAAGTAGCAAGTTTGTAGACAATCACCAATGACTTGAGATTAAAACAAGCGGTTCAACAAGTGCATCAAAAGTTGATAAGGTCAGAGCATAGTACAAAAAAACAAATCAGGATTTTGAAAATTGTGAATGCCGAAAGAGTTTAGCCAAATATTACATATAGAGGGGAGTTTTCTTACACTATCAGAATTCAAGTTTATCAGTTAACAAATCTCTTTTGTCAATCGTCCTGTGATAACTCAGCTTGTTCTCTACAGGTCCTACAAGCGGAGTTCTTGGCCATCTCCCTTCACAAAGCTTGCCTTCAACTCCACCTACACGTTTAACCCAAATATCCCGGTACTTGAACACATTCTTAGTGAATACCATACTTGCCATTATCATGCTCATTCAATCAACACCTTATAGGGTACTTAACCTTCTAAATTCTCAGTGTCATTGGTCATCTTTTTTCTCGAGCTTCCTCATCATATATGGTTTTCAGATAAGCCTGCTAGTTCAGAACTTAGCTGTTACGGTCTTGGTATTAGTTCATTTGGTTGAGTTTTAGCTTTTTGAGGTCAGTGTTCGCTACTCTGTACGCACGGCCTGTAGATCATTGTGATGGCCCTGACACTTACGACAAAAGCTTACATCAAATTAAAGGTGTACACTGTAGTGGTAGATAAATTCCCAAAGTAAGTAGTTCTGTAAGTCTTCAAGATTGACTAGACAAACCCTTGAAGATGCCACAGGTATTCGGAGTTTGACAACACTTTAACCAGTAACATCTATTATCAATGTTACTCACCAAGTGAAATCAAAAGGCAGAAGCGAAGAGGTTCCAAGATATATTTGATAGGCCATCAATATGTCGAGGATCGTCTGATCTAATCTGGCTAGCGATTTCAGGATATGTTGAGCACGGTGTTCCCACTTGTGACCTGGTGGGGATGCATAACCGAGCGCCTTCAGCTAGGTGAGCCCATTAAACTAATGTGGTCGGCATTAAATGTCGAAGACTTGAGGAGCTATTTATTTTGAGGATTTATTTACCGCTACACCAATGTTTGTATGGACTAGCCTTCAACCTACTTACCGAATCTATTTGTGTGATGTGTACTCATGAAACCTATTCTGGTAATACAGTTCTGATAGCAGATTCAAATACATCCGAATGGTGTTGATGCCTTTGGGCAAGTTCACTGTTTTTCGGCTGCGCCAGATTTCAAATAATTAAGATAGGATCGGATTGTTTCCTTTGAAAGTCATGTTTACGGATACGAAAAAAAATCAAAAAAGAGAATGTGTAGCATGCATGTAGTATAGGAATAGTTATACGCCGTATCCGTTGTTGACTGTGCGGTTAGTCACGATAGCGTACTCAGCGGTAGCCTCGTTCGTGCCTTGTGAGCCTACAATCTCATCCGAATTCAAGAACGGTGTGGTCTGCTGATCTGGACGTGAGACGGACGTCTTGTTCATAGATGGCGCAGATGACACGTGCTGTTGACAGGGACGTGAGAATGAGGTCTCTGATGTATCTGGCGTATGATCCGAGGTAGATGTAGAGATCCCGCGAGTAGGTTTTATGGATCTAGCATTGGGTCTTAAGTTATCGAGTAGGGCACTGTCATCGACGTGTGCTGGTTTGAGACGATCAATGCTGACGACCTCGACGTGACCATGTCCATCAACCTTGAAGGTCTTTTCGTGTCGAGAGATCACGTGAAAAGGTCCTTTGTAAGGCTGTTGCAAAGGCTTGCGTACCAAATCTACTAATATGAAAACATGTGAACAGGTAGATAACTCTCGATGGAGAGCAACCTGTCGATGTTGTATTCGAGCAGGCAGTGTTCGCGTAAATGCAGGCGGTCGATGGACGTAGTCTGATTTACCAAAATCGTTACTGCTACGTGGTGTGAAGAATTCTGCCTTCAAACTCGTTCTGATACCTAAGAGAACGAGTGGTAAATTTCGTACCAATTGTTGTTTTCGTGTGCTCAAAGAGCATTTTATGTCGGCGATGAAACTGTGCGACTAAACCATTTGGTGCTGGGTGGTAGGCGGTAGTGAGTATGCGTTCCGTACCAAGCAACCGGGTCAGTAAGGAGAATAATGCGAACTCGAATTGTTGTCCTCTGTCAAGTCGTGACAGTCGAGGGACAACCGTACAGTGCTATCCATCGTTCTACGAAGCGGTGAGCAACTGTCTCCTCCGTAATAGACGTGATGGGAATGGCTTCATGCCATCTTGTAAAACGAGTATGTGTTCATACTAATGCGATTGTGGCAATGGTCCTACAATGTCTATATGAACGTGATCAAAGCGAGCATCAGGCGTAGCGAACGTGCCAATGGGGGCAGCTACGTGCCTGTGCACTTTTGATCGTTGACACTGTAAGCATTGCTTTACCCACATACGAACATTTTTATTCATGGACGGCCAGACGTATTGTGCAGCGATGAGGCGTAGTGTAGCTGCGAAACCTGGATGAGATAATCCATGTAGAGCATCGAGGACGAGACGGCAGTAAGCGGAAGGTACGATGGGTCCGGGAAGACCGGTAGAATTATCACATAGGATAGTACCTGAGCTAGTAGCTAGGGGTACTTCCTGGCACTGAAGGGATGTACATTAAGGTGCTTCTGTACAAAAAGAACCGTTTGCTTGTGAGGCAGCCATAGCAGGAAGACCGAGCACCGGTAAAGTAACTGCATTCGCTTGGATACGTGATAGAGCGTCGGCAACAAACTTCGACTCGCCTTTAATATAACAAAGGTCTGTCGTGAACTGGGAGATATAGCCTTAATGTCTGCACTCTCGTGGTGAGTAACGGTCAGATTTGGTATGCAAAAAACACGTTAAAGGCTTGTGGTCGGTGAATAAAATGAAATTGAGACTTCCTACTGCGTGTCGGAAATGTTCGATGGCACAGTAGGCTGCTAGCTGCTCTCGACCAAAAGCACTATATCTCGCCTCAGTGAGAGGAAGGCGTCGTGAGAAAAATTCGAGAGGTTGCCAACTACCGGAGATGTTCTGTTGCATAACGGCGCCTATAGCAGAGTCCGGTGCATCAGCCGCTATACTAAGCGTGGCTGATGGGTCAGGATGAGCGAGGGCCGTTTTAATTTCTGAAAATGCACTACGTGCGGTATCGTTCAATTCTAATTTGTGTGGATTACCGCGAAGTAAATCGGTTAATGATCGTAACCGTTCTGCCGCGTGTGGCATGAAACGTCGGTAGAAGTTAACCAAACCGAGAAATGCCTTCAGTTACTTGTATGAGGGTGGCACGTTATATTCCTTTACTGCATGTACTTTGTCTTCGCGAGGTAAAATCCCATCTTGTTTAATGATATGAACCAAAAACATTATTTCCGATCTTCCCAATTCACACTTGTCTGAGTTGACTATTATTCCATTATCCGAAATGCGTTGGAATAATAGTGTAAGGTGTTGATAATGTTCATCTACGTTTGATGATGCGATCAGCAGGTCATCAATATATACGTGAACAAAATCCAAGTCTCGTACTATGCTATCGATAAACCTTTGGAAAGTTTGAGCAGCATTCCGTAATCCAAACGGCATTCCTAGGAACTCAAACAGACTAAAAGGAGTCGTGATATCAGTTTTTTCGATATCTTCAAGAGCGACTGGGATCTGGTGATATGCTCGTACCAGATCGATCTTAGAAAAGACAGTCGTGCCCTTGAGCAATGCCGTGATGTCGTGTATGTGGAGGATGGGTTAGCTATCAAAGCAGGTAACCACGTTTAATGCTCGGTAGTCGTGGCATGGTCTCCGACTACACCCATCCTTTTTGCGCACCATGTAAAGAGGAGAGGCCCAGGGACTGTGAGAAGGACGAATAGTACTGGTAGATCGTAAATTGTCAAACCTACGTTTAGCGAAAGCTAATTTGTCCGATGCCAGTCGGCGTGGTCTTGCCGTGACTGGAGGTCCGCGGTTGACTATGTGGTGTATCGCACGGTTGGTTATCGATGGAATCTCCTTGAGTGGTTTAGTTATTCTGGGGAATTTCTCGAATAAAGCGTGGAACATATCGTCACGCGAATAAAAGGTGCCAAGGATTTGGTACGCGTTCGTGTGGGCTTTACAGCCCATGAATTTAATGTTCGACGAAGTATCGATTAGCTGAAGCCTACGTGAATCGACTGGCATTTCATAGTGCTGTAGGAAATCGATACCGAGTATGGCTTTGGGAACATCGGCAATGATAAACGTCCACAGATACTGTCGTCGGTTACCCAGATTGACCGTGAGTTGTCGTGTACCATAGGTAGAAATGGCTGAGCAAAGCGTAGTCGAAGCGTCGTAGCTTGTGACATATTGCTACCAAGAGGTACGACAGAAACTTGGCCACTTGTATCCACTAGGCACCTGGCGTTTATACGATAATCGTGCACATAGAATAAACGGCCAACCTGGGTGTCTGGGCCGGCGAGTACGGTCGCTTTGGCGTTTCTCGCCTTGTATGAGCACGGGGTTCGACAATGGCAGGCACCAGACTCGAAGGACCGATGGAATCAGCACCAATTTTCACTATCTTCCGAAGCCGCCTTTCTGCATGGCTTGGAAAGTGCTCTGAGTGGGCGGGTGGTGACGGCTTTACGGGAACGTCAGCGGGCTCGGCGGACGTAGGGTTGGGGTATGTTACAACGATCTCGAAAGCTTAGACGTGTGTGAATACAGCCGTCCCTGTCACCTCGAGCAGATGAGTGATTAGTGTCCATGTCAATGTCCGAACGTGCCGTTGAGGCGACTATATAGTTGTCTCGATTGATAGTCTTTGTTAGTTATTTGTCTGCTATAAGAGCTACCTGGTTGAGTGGTGCGTCCTCGTTAGGGACGTTTGAATTGAGGAAGACCTTACGTACAGCTACCATATGGTCCCCCGGTAGTGATTCGAGAGTGAAAGCATACGTACAGTTAAAAAACGAGCACAGTAAAACAATCACTGGTACAATTGGTTATATTAATGATTGTATCCATGAAACCAATCTCGTTCTGTTGATAAAAATAGGTCACTACAATCTGTACTTATTCATCAACTCTCATTAAA